TATGTTCTATCACCAATGTTTGTCCTAACCTTTGGTTTCCCCTTTGTTGTCAAACGTCCAGAGCTGTGTGTTTAAAACGTATTTGGCCTGTATGTCTCGTTGGCAACCAAGAGTTGAGACATTCCTAGTTTTTACAGTTGTCCAAGCTTCCTGTTCACTGGGCCTTCCGCATTGTTCACTTTACTTTGATTTGTGTGCTGTCCCTTGGGCATCCAAAAATTAGGCTCATGTTGATCAGTCCTCAGTTGTACTGCTCGCTGGGCCTTCCGAAATTTTGACCAAAATTTGGGAGGCGTCAAACAAATAGGTCTCCAACTTGCAGTTCAAGCTTGTTGTTTTCGACTGGGCCTCCACAAGGCATATGTTTGCGCCGCTGTCATAAGGGAAAATAGCCATGGAGCAGCCCATGGATAATTGATATGTATGGACATTTCGACATACATTCACACAAACATGCGTAGATCAATGTGTTGTCATTCATACAGACATATCAATGTTAAATGATTATGTAAATCCGTATTTATTCAACAAGTAAAATTAGCAGAGACATGTGTGTAGAAATATGTACATATATATATATATACACATGTGTATACAGTTTAGGAGTATGTAATGCTGGAACTGAACACACAGGTGCCTCAGGAAACATAATTATGCGCAAACACATGATTGACCTGGCCTTGCTTCAAGTAAACAGAAACTGCAAAACCCAAATCAATAGACATCATGCAACATGCAACATGAAATCAATAAAGTCCAAACAACGAGCTTAAACACAACACATTTAGTATACAAAGAGAAACGGAGCAAATCATTATCAATAGAAACACACTCATTTCTATTGATTTGGGTCCGTAGCCGATGCCCAGGGGACAAACATGCCCAAAAACACTCGGAAACCACTTTTATCGGATGAATATCTTTGCTCCGGCCTAACCAGCCTGATGGGGCCAAAATTGCAAAATTCGCTCCGAGTGGCCCTAAACCATCCAACGTGTCCAAATCACAAACCACACCCCTACAATCACAACAAGCCAATTGACCCAAGCAGATTCCACCGCCGCCCAAGATCTCCCAAGCCCATCGCACAAAGCCTCTTTACCGCCTTGGGCGGCTTGAGCCCGGTTTGGAGACAGTTTGTGCTGTTTTTGCTCGAGCTGACTTGTAACAAATGTTTTTGCAAATGGACGTTTCTAGTATCCAGCAAACAACATGGAAATCGGCGCGACAATTTCCGACCGAACTCCCGCTGAACTTGCCAAAATAGTGCGAGCTGGGCAACAGGGGGGTCGGTCCAGGGCTACCAAAACTCTGACTGTTCTAGAAAAAGTCACCTTCACTCCCGGGTGCATTATTCAATTACTTTTGCTGGCCTGCTGTTTGCCTGTGCTTTGAACAATCTCATATGAACATGTGCGATTTCAGCGAATTTGAGCACACAAAGTGACATCTGGTTCACAAACTGAAGATGGACCTCAGCGCAACAAGCCTGAAACAAGTGCATTTTGGCACAAAGTGAAATTTGGCTGAGCTAATCTGACAAATGCGCACTTGGGCGAACAAAGAATAATTCAGCCGACAAAACACAAACAATGTGAATTTGCCGAAAACAGGGAATTCGGTCGCACAAAACTAAGAACAACGGTGCATGTCAAGCCAAAATGCAATTCGATTGGAAACAAAGAAACTGTGCTTCCGCCCAAACTCTGGGATGTATTTGTGTGTGTGTGTGTGTCAACGTGTGAGAAAGTTGCAACGCGACGGCCATTACAACAATATGCAATACAAGTTTCACGGAAAAGCTGAACAGTGAAAAGCAACTGGAAAAACAAAACAAGGTGCCAGGACCGAACTCCGACCGAACTCTGACTGAGGTTGGAACAAGGGGGCCAAAAGCACAAGGGGAGGGTCTGGAGTCTGGAGCCATAATTGTATGACTAAACTTGTGGTAGAGAGGGTGGTTCAAGTCCTCTCAGGCACACCACTTACACACACACTGATCTAAGATTGAGCTAAATGATCCAGTTGCCCTATGGGTGAGGCGATGCCGAGGTGTGTGCAAGATACGCACTGCTACATGCCATCATCGCGACATTCGGTAAAGTGTGGTGGTTCAACTCCACACCCGACGGTTGTCACCAACACTTTGCGCCCTTGTGAGATTGCTTTTGCTAGGCTAGATGTCATTTCATAGCAGTCACCTTTACTTGTTTCGGCAAACCAGCGAGCACGTGCAAAATTCAGGCCCACATGGGCAGGCCTTATCAGGCCTTGGCTTTGGCTACGTCCTTCAAACTAAGCCCAATGCCCCCCAACTGTTACAGTATTTCGGAAGACAGCTCCAAGGCTTATTCCTTTGCATGGATGCCAGTGTTGCTTTCATGTGGGTCCATGCTGTTCATTCGAGCATGCTTCACCGGGCAATTGCCGAAATCCATGGATGAAGTCTTGTATTCCTAGCAGGCTGTCGAAATAGGGACGTTCAGTCTATACGCTTTGCGCGTGGAAGGCATATAGTGCTTTGGATGGTCCAGGACTGCGGTTTTCCCTTGAATTCTTATTGCATCATTCATTAGATGTACTGATGCTGTACTATTCCAACGTGCATCATTCAAATCGATCAACCCGACAGACCTGTCAGCCCGTCAGGCTCAGACATCATCATGTTACGTCGAACAAACCATACCTTGTAGCATTGTAGATGAGTTAATGTGCGTGATTAAAAGCACAATCGTGCCTTTGGATTTTAGTTGCAACCGCTGAGCACTTTCGAAATTGTCTATGACTTGCTGTTCTGCGACATATGTGTTCCACATATAAGCATTTGCGCTTTACCAAGCGGTTCAGCCGGGCTTCTTAGTTCCAAGCTCCATGGGTTCTGTCGTGTACTTATGCGGGTTTTGTCACGAGGACCTATCCAAGAAATGTCTTTATTTGCGGTTGTTCTCTGGGACTTTGCAGGGTTATCAGGCGTCAGCCCACCCCAGCCAGCGCTTGAGTAAATGCCAACAATATTTTCCAATAGCAAAGGCCTCATTGTTGCCTCGCTTGATCAGGCCTGATCCAATGTTGCAGCCAATTTTGCGGTTGCGCATGTGTGTGCGTTCATTACGTACAAGTATGCGTAGATTGTTTGGAAGTGCCGTGTTGGTTCTTTTAGCTCATGGGAAACATGTGCATATTTTCTTCCAGCGATTGTTTGTTCAGAGGTGGCTTACGCGGCGCATTCACACTGGGCGAAGAATGCCAGGCCAAATGCACGCACTGCACGTAAGCTGAACGCGACAGTTAATTCATGTGCATGTGTGTGTGTGTGTTGCTATTGCTGCACACCAGCATGTAGAACAAATGATTGGGGCAAACGTCCTTGACATGTGTTGGCAAATTTCTCAGTTGCAGTACGCAAATTTTGACCAGCGCTGTGCATTGATGTATGTGTCAGAGTTTCCCAGTATCAACCATAACCATTTTGCCCCCAGGCAACGTATTTCACGTAACAACTCATGGAACTGTTTGCGTTGCTTCCGCGCTTCTGCGTTTCCCGACGTCTTTATCTTGTACAGGCAGTGCCCTTCATTGGACGGAATAGCGTGTGGATGTTGCTATGACTCCCAGGAACTGCGTGGCACAGGTGCCCTTTGTTTGTTCAGGAAGCCTCTCCGTTCAAGTTGCCCTGCTCAAAGTGTTGCCTTTACCATGCAGCTTTGCGCGACGCAGGGGTGCTTTCTGAATGCTGTCATTTGTATAGAGCTTACCTATTGGAACTTGCAACGCTGTCAATGCAGCGGAAGTCCGTTCAATTTGTTGTCGGGGCGCGTTTGCTTCTGATACGTGCACGTCGCTTTGTCTCTGGCTTCATCTATAATGGAAGCGTGTCGTATCGTCTATAGTGGAAGTGCGTCGTATTCTTGCCTGATGACCCACTCGAATGATGGGCTGGTTTCTGCCACGCTCGCTCGCACTGCTTGTGCTGCATGAATAAACATAATTAGGCGCCTGATAGCTTTTGAACCCCCCAAAAGCCTGGTTGCGCAGAATCGTGTGTGCTTTTTGGTTGGAACCTGTTGGCAGTTTCAGCCACTCTCCTGCACTCTTTTCTGTGACAGATGGGTGCCATATATCTGTCACACACGCGCGTGCACCCATGAGGAGTACTTCTGTTTGTATGTTTCTGTGTTGGAGGGTGGGCTGGTAGTGGAAAAGTTTGTCGCTGCATGTTGTTGGTCATGCAATCGCACATCCTCACGCGCAGCTTGCTTTTAATGTAGGTTGCCTACTAGAAGTACGCAGCTTGTGTGTGTATGCGCGTGTGTGTGTGTGTGTGTGTGTGTGTGTGTGTGTGTGTGTGTGTGTTTGTGTGCGATGGCATTGGCTCAGCTTAGAAGTGTGCACCGAATTTTTGCCTGTGTCAATTTACCAAACCTGCTGGGCGCCTTCGGCCACAAACACCGGGATGGAATCCTGTCTTCATCCGTGGGAGTGCTTTCGTGGCAGGGTCCCTGAAAAAACACTGATATTTCATTCTGAGGTGTTGAACTTTTTCTCTTGGTTTGCAGCCAAGCAAATTTTAAAGGTCGCACAAACATTTTCAGATGCACATGTTGTTTCCTGCGAGTTCGATTGCGTGCAGGAAAGGGCGTGCGGGTAGCTGCTACTCGCAATCCGTCAGAAACGAATGTTTTGTCATGGTTTTGACCCTCGCAGTAATTATTGATTTTCATACCCTGGCAAACCTGTTCTTTGCCGATTGAACTCTGAGTTCTGCAGGCATGAACATTTGCCGGCCAAAGACGTTCGACTTGCGCACCTTGCTGCATTTGTTCGCCTTTAGGACGACAAACATAAGAATACGCCCACTGTTGGCCCCATTTTCTGCTTTTCAAAGCGTGTTCAATGAATGCAAAGGCTTGTCCAGAGCGCTTCATTTACATCATGCCCAGCCCAAAAACCTCACGCAATTTAGCATGTCCCATTGACCCATTTTCGATTTGCCTTTCGGCCTGCCAAATGTACTTGCGCTGACACATGCCATGCCGAGAGCATGACTGCAGGAATGCATCCTCTCGCTGCAGTTGCTGCCTTGGCTCAACATTCTGCTGTGTCGCACCAAGGAAAGCGTGAACTTCCTGGAATGGGTCGACATACGAGACCCTACAAGACCCCTTGATGGCCCAATGGCATGGCATCTACACGCGGCTCGCTCCATGTATCTACCAAGCCACATCGCCGAAGAATCCATGGCAAGCCCATCCCAAGAAAAGATGAGTGTGGTGAGAGACTTGTCGTGCAAAATTGAAAGCACCTTTATGCTTAACCTCGAGAAGGAAAGAGTTTGCGCTCGCCTAAGAAGCGAAAATAGTTGCCTTGCATCCCTATGTGCCTGAATTGAGCTGATTGCTGCGCAATCCACTGTACTTGACATGCGCAGAATCGCTTTCCCACCCCGGCTCGTGGGCAGCCAGTTTTGAAACCGTTGGGAGATGAACGGTCTGTACAACGCAGCGAGCCTTGCTGGCACGTGGAGCGACCGTCATACCTCTTTGTAGGTCAGGTTTGGATTGGTGATGGGCCAGCAGAGCAAAGCCATGGCTGTGCTCCTCGATTCAAGTTTGATCTGACATCGCTTTGCAGAGGTGTCGCTCCTTCCAAAGAAACCATCCAGGCTGTTGTCAGCAGCATTGCCTGCCGGGTGCTGTCTGGCTCAGTTTGAGAGGCTCTTGCAGCCCAGCTGCCATTGCCCACCATGCTCCAGGGATCCCACGCATTCACCAGCAGACTCTCAGCGACCACAGCTTTCCTCAACTTCCATCGGGCGCAAGGCGTTCAGAAGTCTTTCGTGCAAACTCTTCAGCTATGGCACCCCTCAGGGCCAAAGACCCAGTGCGGGATCCGCGGCAGCTCCCTGACCTCAATGCCCTGAAACCTAGGACACAGAAAGGAACGGCAAAAAACAAATGCTGGAGAAGAAAAAAAACCTGCACAGCCGAGCTGCTCTTTCAGCACTGGCTCCAGGGAAGCCTCCTTGCACCCACATCCCCAGAAAGCTCTAAAGCCGCACTCGGCGGGCGCTTCTGTGGCGTGCGCCGCGCAAAGCCAAAGCTACGCCTTGAGACGGTTGTAGTCGTGGTATCTCTGCAACTCCGCAGAGAAGGCTCCACCCCCCACATTGGCCAGGAAGACTCGCCTGAGTCCAACGCATGACTGCCAATACGTACGAGTTTATATATATATATATATACATATATACACATATGTTTGTATATATGAATATATTTATATATATATACATATATATATATATATATATGTTTATATATACATGTGTGTGTGTGTGTGTCTGTCAATCTCTGTCTTTTTGCGGGCCGAGTTGCTTCAAGCCTTAGAAGACCGAAACACGATACAGCGCGGTTCGTCCGACAACTTCTCGTTCGGCCAAACAATACAATCCAAGGCCAAGCCAAGCCACCTTTGTCTCTGGCACCTCAAAGCATTCCATAATTCCATGCCCCAAAATGCGCATGTGGCAATCCGGAGCAAACTTGGCAGTAAATTCATCACACGTCTTTGACCTGAGACTTTTTGCCAGGTCTCAAATAAAAATGTATCTCCACATCTGCCTCATTTTTGCCACCAGTTCTTCTTCTGTTCCCTTGCCACGTCCTGCCATCACACTGCACCGCAAATCCCTGACCGACGTGAATACTTCAACACAATTGCAGGCCTGACAGAAAATACTGAAAGTCTGGCTGCTCGGGCACATCGAAGGCGTAGCCTCTGCAAAACATTGTCTGTCAACTGCACGTTCGCGCTCTCCCTACCCCCGAGACAGCGAGAGATGTCGCATTGCGCTTCCTGTTGTCAGCAAACATCCACTCTTGTTTGCACTCTTGCTTGAACTGCACCGCAGTTCGCCTATCACATTGATGACATGCACGTCTGCCTGCTCACCTGCAGATCCTCAGATCCAGGCTTGAACCACTTTTCAATGTCCGCAGCACCGTCACAGCTATATATGCTTTGCTTGTTGAGGCCTTGGAGGACGTTCCCGCAACAGAAGCAGTCGTTTGCAACACCCTATCCAAAATTCAGCTTAATGCTCTAATTAGCCACTCATAACGGCTTGATAAGGGTATTTGCAGGGGGGGGGAAGTTGCATTTTAGGAAGGTAGCTTCTCCAAGCTCAGAATATTGAGAATTTGACCAAAGGCAACATGAAGAGTCGGCACTCACTCTTTCCAAGTCGCGCATTGGAGTCTGGCAATAAATCGCCTCAACGTGGGACACACACTTACACCAGCAGCCGAACTCTCAAACCATGAATTACTCATCCCATCAGTCTCAGTAAATGTTTCTGCCTCCATATTCATTCGAGCTGCGATGTTGGGCAAAAGCTTCTCAGCAGAACTCTTAGCATAGAAGCCTTCTGTGAAGCCAAAGAACCTTAACTGTGTCAAGTTCTGGGCGAGTCATAGTAGCACATGCAGGTCATACCAACGCATTCAAGGCTGGTTGGCCATTGTCAATGATTTGACACGCCTGTCTCATTTTGACCCAAGCGGCTGCTGCAGCTTCTCCTTGTCATAATAGCGCTGCATGGCCTGAACCGGCTGCACGAGCCGAAGCCTCAGCCTACGTGCAGTTTCTTCCTATTTGGTGAGCTCCCCGCAATGTTGACAGGCTCGCGCTCTTTGGTCAGCCTCTCCACATCGCCGCGATGAGCGCCACGTGGGAAATAGACTGTCACCTTGCCAAGCGCAGTCTCAGTCTCACCAGTTGAACCTGGCCGTTTCTGACTTCAAGTTCCATAGTCCGAACAGAAATTCTGACATGCGAGCTCCATCAAGGCCCAGGCTTTGTGCGAAAGCTGCTCCAACTCGCCTCTCTCAAGCAGCTCAACGCCTCGCACAATAAGGAACTGCAGCCAGCGAATAACCAAACTAATTACTCCATTCAGGAAATGCAAAGCTTAGAACTCTATTCAGCTGAGATACTCCATTCAGGAAATGCAAAGCGTGTCTGGTAGACATCCCGTAGCCTTTTGGCCTCCCGTGTTCCCTCGCCCGAGAGTTGATTCGTGGCCCTCACCACAAACACCACATAAAACGATTGCCATCTTATCCATATTGCATATTCAAATGCCCTGCACATCCTGATCAACGCGGCGGGGCAGATCAGCAGCAGCCGCAGCAGTAGAAGCTTTAGCCACGCTTGCCTGGCACACTGCATCAGCATCTAATCCAATGATGCATTCTACTTGAATCAAGCAAAGGTGAAACAACACCGTTTTGGCAAAACAACAAGCTGGTATTAAAGCCAGCTCTCCCCTGATCGTGCCTCTGGCACGATTCTGTGTAGCTGCGAGACGGCCAACGCAGCCTCGGATTCATAGCATCAGTGACACGCAACAGGTCGCAAATGTCTCGGCAAACAACAAACGGGATCACATGCAAATACACATGCACGGCTCTATCCGCTGATTGCCAAGACACAGCAAAATGCTGCAGGCGGTGCCGATTCTTCATCATGCGCTGGAGCATTATTCTGGCGATGCTTACTTGATGATACAGTCAGGGTGCTGGTCAGGGCGCTGCTCAAGGTACTGCTAGTGTTGTTTTGGGTGCTGGTCAAGGTTTTTCATGACGCACTCAAGGCGGTGGCGGGTGGTGCTTGTTTGGCGTGCAATGGCGGTTACATTTGGAGATGCCGTCGGGGCGCTAGGTTACTGTTGGGCACGCGCAGGTGCGACAGCTGGACACAGCAGCTGCATCCAGAGGCAGCGCAGAGCGGTGCACAGGCCTTCACCTGAGTCAAGTTTGGGGATTGTAGGGGAACAGATCGGAAGGCCTCCCCAAGAAAAAACGACCAAAACCGACAGAAGCCGACAGAAACTGATAGAAACAAACAGAAAAAGAACAACAAACCAAATTTCAACCAGCTACGGCACCCATGGTCTACCAGGAATACAATTGAATATAGAGTATTAGCAGCCAAAAATCAGTAATCAACAAACAACAACAAGCACCAACGAACTAAAAGCAAACAGCACAAACAACGGCGCAACAACCAACAATACAATAACAGCAACAGATTATTCCACACACAGACAAAATACAACCAACCAACAACAACAGTAACAAGCGAATAACATGTTTAAAAAAACAACCGACAGCACACAACCAAGACAAAGAGCTTTGGCATAGCTAGAACTGCAGTTGCAGTCATCCAAGTCTGTTGAGCTCATGGGAACCCTTGCAAATTTGCAACCTTGCCATGCCTGCAGTTTGGCAGCCTTGCTTGGGCGGCGCAGTGTTGAAACATGGGCAGGTTGGCAGGGGCTGCAGGTTTGCAACGCTTTGCAGCGTTGGAGCTGTGGCAGACAGAGCTGCAGCTTTGCATGTGCGCAGAAATGCCGAGCAAATGGCAGCTCTTTTCCTGTGGCAATTAGAGCCTCCATTGCGGCACGTGCACATCATGCCTCATGCATGCGGATATGACTGAACCAAAGAACAATCCTCACACGCTGCCTTCATATCCGCAGCATTTGAGACACTTGTGCACCTGTCGTCCACTCTTGTAGCGGGGACATTTCTCGTGAGTGTGATACACATTGCCTGTCGGCAACATTCGGACCGGATTGGTCCTCTTCCTTAGTTCGCTGCGTGAACCCACCTCCAGCTCGCTATCGTTGGCCTCCTGAATCGTTGCCTTGCCAGAGATGACGATCTCCTTCTGGATCTTCCTGATGAAGAAACTCCACTGGCTCAAGGCTCCTACGCCGGCCAAAATGGCTAGCCACATCCAGTTGTCGCTCTCCGCTCCACTAACCTCAACCTCCACCTTGGTTCCGCTGGCTCTGACACGTTGGCGAAGGCCACCACCAAAGCCACGCGACACTCATCCTTCAAGCCGCTGACAATCGTTTTGGCGCCTTTGTCGCTCAGCATCTTGCGTTCTCGTGGAACTCGTCTTCCCCGAGCTCGCGGTTGTCCTCGTCGACCATGCCCGTCTGAACATCAGTCCTCTCACCCTGGCGCGCGCCAGCGCCTTGGTGCCAGTGTCCGCGCTCGCACTTCTGCTGCAGCGACATCATGACTGCATCTAGGTGTCGCCAATCCCAACTTCACTGCATCCAAAGACCGTGGCCACGTACTCACCGCTTGACAGCGAGATGCTTTTCTGGCTTCTCACCTACTCTCCATGTGACAACCTCCATCGGGCAAAATTTCTTCACCTCCACATCCTGCATTTCTCTCATGTCCAGCATGGACTTCCCGCACTTGCTGCTCTTGATGAGCAGCCCATAGAACTCCGCGCCGACCAAATAGCTGGCCAAGTGTTCGCGTGCCATCAAGAACGCGTCTTTGACATCGATGACCTGCACACCAAACTAGTGCGGGCAACATGCTGCCACAGGTAGCAGCGTTCGGGGAATTGCCATCAGCAACGCAGGAAATGAGTCCTCTCTCCTCTCTTTTCTTCCACGAGGGGTGCACTCCAGCAACCCTTAAGGATTGCAGGGGTGCACTCCAGCAACCCGTGATGACCATCTTGGTGGCGATGTCATTGTAGTTAGAATCTTGATCACTGCTTCAATCCGTAAGGGAACATGCATCAAGAGACAAAAGAGAACAACCGCAAAGGGTGCACTCGCTCCTTTTCTTTGAAGACAGTGCATGTCCCCCTGCGGAGCCTGGTCAACAGAGCGTGTTCGACCAAGCGCCAGGTGTATTACCTGTAAGGCGTTAAACAATCAAGGCATTGGTTGCTGTAGGATGCTCTGAGGGCAACCTACTGGTGTGCATGCAAGGCTGAGACATGCCAAGGCAGTAACTGCATGCGGCATGCGTGACAAGGGCAGTGACTGCATGTGGACGCAAGCGCGGTGCCTAAGAAACTGCCATGCGCTGGCCTCTAAGGCACCAGCTGGGCTCTGGAGGATTTACCTGAACTGTGGCTTAGGAAAACGGCCACGCGTCCGAAGATTTAATTAAGATTGAAACATAAGGGAAAATGAAAACCCTAAACGATAGAATCACTGCTTCAATCCGTAAGGGAACATGCATCAAGAGACAAAAGAGAACGACCGACAAAAGCGCGCTCGCTCTTTTTCTTTATAAGGCGTTGCTTGGAAGTTAAGACTTGGGGGTCAGGGGGAAAGACAGCGCGTGTTCTTTCCCCGTGTTTGCACCCCCCTGCGGAGCCTTCTTACATCTCCCACTTCAGAGTTCCAAGCAAACGGCCTACACTATTGCCCCCTCTTCAGAGCGTTTGCAATGCACTCCTACGCTCCGGCCGCCACGGTGCGTTGGGCGGATGCAATGACAGCGCGGATTTATGGGGCCAGAAATCACGCGGGCAAAATTAAAAGCGAGCATGCGGCTTGCTGTCAAACGCAAGTATTTCCGCGGCTAAGCTGATTAGCCCACATGTTGCGCTTGCCTGGAATGTGCAAGGCACTAACCATTTGCGCTTGCAAGCCCACGCTGCGACGAGTTGCACAAAAATTTGCAGAGGCCATGCCGTAGTAAACAGTTTGTTCACTCCGGCCTGATGCAGTATCCGTACCGGACGGCATGCTGACCTTCATAGCCCAAGCGATGCGCATAAGTGCAAGCTGGGCCAGGTTTCAAAGTGGTAAGGCATGGACACTTAGACATTGTGGAAGTCCAGGTTTCTGCAAATCGGACACAACGTGGCAGACTTGCTGCCGAACACACACACGTGTCCAAAACAAGCAGAACCAATGGCAGCAGACGCTGTGCTTCATATCCAGCCAGTCCGTCCGCCTCAACCTTGACGGCCTCCACTGCCAGGATCTGAAGGTTGTAGACGTTCATCTGGCTGGGCAGGCCTGGAAGCGTGCCCCGAAGTGCAGCTTTGCAATTCCGTTGGAGGCCCGGTAAAGTACATCTTCGCCTGGACATGTACACCACGAAGTTGGAGGCCGTGCCAAGCCGCTACCGGCAGGCGAAGAGAAGCTCTTGGCCGGGGGTTAAGTTGTACGCGCGCACAATGTTCCACGGGTCACCGCCAGGGTCAGAGTGTGGCCGTTCACGCTCACCGCCCACGGTGTGCGTGGCCAGGCCACGCTGCATCCGCTGCTGGAACGAACCGTCCAGTTGACGTCCGTGGGGCCCAGAATCTGCTTGCCAATGGCGGCCACCACCTTGTTGGCCCCTCCGTCGTCCGAAAAGCGCCAGCTATCTTAGGCCAAGACTGCCTCGAGCGGCTGCAAAGCTTAAGGCCGTTGCCGTGTCCTGGTCGGCGGCTAAGCGGTGCCACCAGCGCCAAGAATCTGGTTGCTCGTAAAGACGTCGACCCTCCGGTACTACAGCGCGCCGCAACTGTGTGTTCTGCGCGCTTGCCGTGCGGTAGTTGGCACTTGCGCCAAAGTGTAGTAGGCCAGCAGCGCAGCCAAGAGGCGCTTGTTTCGGCGTTCTGCGCCGCCCCCGTCGGTAGTCGACCAACAGCGCGTCTACTTGCGCCAAGTGTAGTCCGTCTTGGCTTGCAAGCTTGGAGGCCAGCGCTGCGGCGGACACGACCAGAAGAGCGTTGGCCGCGTGATCCTTGCTGCGATGTTAAGCAAGTGCTGGTTGAGGCCGTAGTTGGCTGCCACGGCATGGTCCGCAAAGAGGCGTGGCCCCTGGTCACCTGCTTCTTGATGTTCCAGAAATCCATCAGCTCCTTAAACTCCCTCTTGAACTTGGAGCCGTTCATGGTTGCAAGGTTTGGCTTGCTCTCTCTTTAGGGGGCGTTTCCCAAATGGATTCTATTCTACCTGACAGGCTCCTGACACTCGTCCGTCCAGGAAACAACCTTGTCCTGCGAAGGATTCAAAACCCAAAACGCTGCGTGCAGGCGTGTGGCTGCAACATAACGACCCCTAGATACGCTTGCACTTTGGCTCCAGGTTGCATCTCAAGCAAGCCAACCTTTGCAGGGCTAAGAAAAAAAAAAGGTCCCCAAAAAAAGGGTCCCGAAAAAAAGGGAAAAGGGGTTTATTTTGGCAAAGCTTGACATCGCATTGAAACGCAACCTGGAGCCAAATTGCGGCGCATAGCTAGGGGTGGTTATGTTGCAGTTTCGAATCCTTTGCAGGACAAGGTTGTTTCCTGGACGGACAAGTGTCAGGAGCCTGTCAGGTAGAATAGAATCCATTTGGGAAACGCCCTCTAAAGAGAGAGCTTGGTCTGCTCTGCAAAGAAGCTGCTCTGCAAAGAAGTGTGCTCTGCAAAGAAGCGTGCTCTGCAAAGAAGCGCAAGTGTGCTCTTGAGCTCCCTCTAAAGAGAGAGGTGGACTTGCCAATATTGATCCATTGTTGACTTAAGATGATTCAAAATTGATTCAATATTGACTTAACAATGAAGCCTCACCCTGCCGCGCCACCTGCCCGGCGTCGGAGCCGCGCCACCTGCCTGGCATAGAAGCCTCACCCTGCCGCGCCACCTGCCTGGCATAGAAGCCTCCACCCGGCCGCGCCACCTGCCTGGCATCAAAGCCTCCACCCGGCCGCGCCAAGCCGCCGAAGCTTGCAGGGCGACCTTGT